GGGGGCGGCCCTGGGCCCGCGGGGCGGACCGGCCGGGAGCCCCGGCAACGACACACGGCGAACGCGCGCGAGCGGGACCGAACCAACAGCGTGAACACGGCCTTCACCGCACTGCGCACGCTCATCCCCACTGAGCCGGCCGACCGAAAGCTCTCCAAGATCGAGACGCTGCGCTTGGCCTCCAGCTACATCTCGCACCTGGGCAACGTGCTGCTGGTGGGCGAAGCCTGCGGGGACGGGCAGCCGTGCCACTCGGGGCCCGCCTTCTACCATCCTGCGCGCGCGGGCAGCCCGCCGCCGCCGCCGCCCCGGGATAGTGAGAACGCGCAGCCCAAGCAGATCTGCACCTTCTGCCTCAGCAACCAGAGAAAGCTGGTGAGCGCGGGTGGCAGGGCCGCCTCCAGCCGGCACCACTGGGCAGAGGGCGAGGCAGAGATGCGCAGCACCTGTGGGCCAGGCCAGAGTCCTGGCCGCAGGGAGGGAGCTTCGGGGAGAGCAAGGCTGGGCCCTCTCCCTGGGCACAAGCTTCTACAAGGTGGAGTGGTGCCGAAGCAGGAGGCAGAACAGGCCCCAAGGGGCTACTCAGGGCCTGCAGGGTCCTGAAGGGAGCACAGATCAGGGTGGGTTCCAGCAGCTCTGGCCACAAGAAGGGCATGCACGCTGTCTACACTGCCTGGGGCACTGAGGCTGTAAAGAAGCTCTGCAGCTTAAGGCTGAATCCAGCACCTGTTGACTTCCCTCCTCCCCAAGTCCCTCACTGGCTGCTGCCCTGGCTCTAGGCCCTCTGACACTCAGGGACCCTATAGCTACCCCGGGGGCTGGGGGGCGGGCTGGGGGCTGAGTGGGAACAAGGCAAGGGTACACTCCAGCCCATGATTTACAGCCCTCCTGTACTTGGTGGCACCGGAAAGGCAGGGCAAGTGGAGAGAAAATACAGCCTGGCTTTCCCCAATCCCCATTTCCTCTCCAGACGGCACGAGCGTGAGCTCCTGGGGCCTGAACATCTGGGAAATTTAATTTTACAATTTTGGCTGTGCAGAGCTCACCCCCCCCCCCGCATGGAATGCTGGGCAAACTTGCAAATGGGGTTGCGCCATGCACCCCAGATAGCACCTAGAGGGACGAGATGGGGGGGGCTGGTCCCCTGCCTGCCTGACACTTCCCCACCCTCTGCAGAGCAAGGATCGGGACAGGAAGATGGCGATTCGGAGCTAGAGGCTGCCGGCTAGCTCGGAGGTGCCCACTGAGGGACAGCCAGGACAAATGCCCTTGGACCGCCACAGGACCCTGACACAAGTGCCCCTGGGCTGGGGCAGGGACAGAGGGCAGCCGCTCAGCCCAGCTGGAGTAGGGATGACGGACAGCGCAGGCCTGGGATGGCGCCAGAACTTTTCTCCCTGCTGGCTTCCTCTTACCTGGGTTTTCTTCAGGGCCGCTACATGCTTTGATATAATATAAAATTTGGAAATTTTGTATAATTAAAAACTGTATCTTCCACACATGGAAGTGTCCTTTTCAACGGCTGTAACGCACACTCTGCAAGAGGCATCGTGAGCATGTGCCCATTCTGAGCACAAGCCAGCCAGAGGTGGCACTCCAATGCCAGCAGAGAGCTGAGGGATGGAGGGCCACTGGCAGGCTGCTCTGTGGTGCCCAGGGGCCATGACGGTGGGGAGGCCAGAGACCTCAGCATACCTCAGGACCTAGTCCAACCTGTGGGCTGGTGCTGAGCAATGGCATCCAGGCCTGGTGGGGGGGGGGGTGTCCCAGCTCACGCAGGACCTGGGCCTGAGTCTTGTCTCATCTGCAGCTCCCCAACCCCGAGTTATGCATGGCAGCAGGGGGAGAGAGCTTCTTTGGAGAATGTCTCCTGGAGCATGCCCACCTCTCTGGGCATGGAGACCCCTTGGGGGTGACTGCTCCCCCACCTGGCCTATGCACACTCTCCAACTGTGGGAAGGATTGGTGTCCCTCAAACATCCCCCTCAGCACCTAGGCTCCACCCATCCTATGGACTAGGGGTGATACCCCACACCCCCGTGTTGTGCACAGCTGGCCAGCCATTAAAATCTTGCAGGTGACAATTATAGTTCATTGATGTGAACTCCATGGGGCAGGCAGAGAAAGAAGGGCACAGGTGGCCCCCATGGCTACTCTAGGCTATTTCCCAGCCAGGAGGCAGCCTGACTTCCGGGCTGGGGGGGGGGCTGGGGGGGCGGGGGAGAGGTAAGCCAGCACCAGGTGTGTCTAACACTGGGCTGAGGCCTCTCCAGCTCTGCTGGCAACAGGCAGGGCAGCAAGCTCTCTGCCTCCCTCCTGCCCCCAGAGCCAGCGCTTGGCTTGGCACCCACTAGACACCTCCTGGACCACTAAGCTGAGCCTAGCCAAACACACAAACCCACCCCCAGCGACCCACTCCATGGGGACAGGGCTCGAGGGACATGAGAGGCAGGAAGCAACAGTGTAATTTTGGAGGAAATTCTTAAAGCCAGAGCCATTAAGGGCTGGGGGCTGTGTCCAATCTGATAGAAATAGAACAGGACAAAACCTAATAGCTGGCTCCACGCAGAGAGAAACCCAACCCCAAATTTCCTCTCCCTAATCCTGCAGGAACCCACAGCTGGGGGGTGAGACAGACTGGTGACCAGACACCCCTTCATCCCAAAGAGCAGGCGGGGACAGACATCCTAGGCCTCCTGCCCCTCTATCTGAGATGGTAAAGGAGGTCACCCCCACAGGCTCACCACATCTACCTTAACAAACCCGAGAGTGGGGGGTGGGTCACTACCTTGGGGCACAGACTAAGTGCCGCACCACCACCAATGCCGATTCACAAAGAACAGTGTCCACTCATGTAGGTGGGAAGGGCCTAAGCGTGAGGAGTGGCCAAGCTGGACTGTGAGGTGGGGAACCCATGGAGGTTGAGGGACCTTGTGTTCTAAAAAGCATCTCCAGGGCCAAACAGGGAACTGGCGGCAGAGTATAAAGGTGGGGAATTAAGAGGCCAGGTGTGAGATGCACGCAGACCTGGGTGAGGGCTGCCACAGGCCCAGCTGGTCACGGCTGTCTTCAAGCCCTGCCCTGCACTGGCCTATGGTTCAGCAGTGGCTGCAGTTTGGCAGGGCCAGGTGGGTGGTGGCCCAGAGCTCCTAGTAACCGAGATGGCAGCAGCCACAGGGGTGGGGGGAGGAATGCGGTCATTCTGCCCTGCCCCTGAAGGCCAGCCAGTGGCTATCCACCAAGCTTGGGATGGCTGGGCTCCCCACCTTGCTCAGTGCCCCCAGCTGAGGGTCACAGCTGGCAGCACTTGAACTGGAGGGGGCTGGAGGGTGACTTTGCCCCGAGGTGGCCAGGCTGAACTGGAAATGCTCCGTCCTCAGTTGTCGGTTCCCTGTCCCCATGGTGTCCCCAGCTGGGAACGAGCTGCTGGACACACCACATGATTCACTGCCACCACCCGCACCCAAGCCAACGCCTCCCCCACTTCATAGCACCTGCGGCTGCCAGGAAACATATGTGACCCCGTGTATGTGGGGCTGGGACCCCCACCCGGGGCAGTCTCTGTGCGGTGGGACCCCACCTGGGCAGGCTCAGGGTACAGATCCAGGACAGTGGCCCCCCACCACAGAAACAGATCTGGGGGGGGAACACACGACACACACTGCCAGCCAAGGGTCCCAAGCCGCCCGCTGCTGCGCACCCCCTCGGAAGCGGCCACGGGCCAGCGGCTGGATGATGTGTCGGCTGGGGTTTTTCCGCTCGATGCGCCGCCGCCCCTCCCCCTCCCCAAAGTGGCTGCAGCTGTCAGGCCGCAGATCGCAGTGCAGGTACGGCTGGCCCGCTGCCCGCCCGTGTCTGTCTGCGAGAGAGGAAGCCGGCCCACCTCTGGAATCCTTCACTCTCTCCTCGTTCCGGCTCCCCACCTGTCCCCTGGGAGTGAGGGGTCAGCCGCCCTCGCTGGTCCCGCTCTCCCTGCCCTCTCGGATTACAATGCCGGCAGTGTTCCGCTCCCCCAATGCACGCGGCTCCCCGCGCCCCTGCACCTCCTCTCCATCTCCTCCAGAACTCTGTCTCTGTCAGACGTTGGCTAGCCATGCCTGCTCACCTGCCCAGCGCCACCCACAGAATGTTCCAGAGGCACAGTGGACAGACTAGGTCCTGCTTGGCTGCTGCTTCTCGCCCCAGTAGGTCAGAACCAGCCACAGGCCTGGGTGGGATGGTCACTCACCCCAGACTCACTCCTGTTGATGTGCCCACTCACATCAGACAAATGCTTCTCTTTGGGGCCAGTGTCCCTCCCAGGGTCCTCTCAGACCCCTCTGACACCTACACAACTCCTGAGTCCACTACAAGCACCCAGACCCACTGGTACCTTCAGCCAACGCACGCCTCACCACTGGACAACCCCAAAGGCTCTGAGGGGTCTTGGGCGTAAGCCTGGCCCCACTCAGCCCTCCTGTGCCACCCCTGCATCTAGCACCTTGGAGAGGGCAGAGCCCTCCCCCAGCTTTACAGCAGGACTCCAGGGGGGAAGCTCTCCTCTTCCCCCAGTCCCCTCTGGGTCCCCTAGCCCAAGCTGGTACTGTCCTCACCCTAACCACAGTGACCTTTCACCAGTCTCACCAGAGATTGAAAACCAAAGGAGCAATGAGATCTAATCATCAAGCAAATCCAGGGCCCAGTACCTGGGGGGCCAGCACCCGGGGAGGGGAGAACCTAGCACACAGTGGCCCAGCATCTGGGGATGGGGAGACAGCACCCAGGGGACTCAGCACACAGAAGGTCCAGTGCCCAGGAGGACCCAGCACATAGTCCAGTACACAAGAGAGCCAGCAACTGGCGGGTCCAGGTCACCCACGTTTCAGTGCAGAGGGAACCCACACTCTACATGCCCTCAGCCTGCCTAGAGTCTCAGGGGCCACCCCCCCACCCCAGCCCACCCTCAGCCAGGGGAGGGGCAAGCCCAGGACAGCATCCCCTTGTGGGGAGGACAGGGTGGTTCCCAAACCTAGAGGCCCCAGGGCCAAGCGGGTGCTTCACAAACAGCGGGGAGGGCGGCTGCTCCCTCACTAAGAAATCCGAGCCGGCAGCCCGGCTGCCAGAGCTGAGCTCCAGCTCCCAGCCGGCTGGCGGCCAGCGGGCGGGGCGCAGAGGGGCGGCCAGCACGGAGGCAGCTGCTGTTCAGTAGCCGGGAGAAGCCATTAACGGCGTTTGGCCTGAGAGCAGAGGGGATGGCGGGCTCTGGATACAGACAGGCCAGCCGTCCCCACAGACTCCCAAGTTACAGCAGGTCGGGCTGGGGAGCCTGGCTGGCAGGGGTCCCTGGGGCCAGCACAGACCTGACCTTCACCTTTGTCCCAGTCCACTTCCACCCTACTCGCCTGCAGACTGCCAAGGGCCAGTGCCCCAGCCTCAGTTTCCCCTAGCTGCTGGGGGGAGGAGGAGGGGTGCTGCTGGGAAAGCTGCACCTCACCCCGCCCCTCGCCCCCAGCCCACCTCCCCCGGGGTCTCGGCAGCCGATGAGATCACGTCTGTGAAGCTCACCATGGTGTGGGGGCGATGTGTGGGGGTAGGGTGGACGGCAGGCGCAAGCCTGCTCCTGGGGGGCCGCCCCCACTCCACCTGGAGCCTCACTCTGGCCCATGAATTAGACAAAGAGGAAGATGAAGTAAAGTGGTGTCTCCTGTGAGGGACAAGTCGGCATCCACACTAGGGGTTCAAGAGGGAGGCTCACGTGCACCCCCTTCCCACACAAGTGTGGAAGAGGCTGGCCGTGGATACCCCCAAAACCAGTCCTGGATGGGACCCAGTCTCTTTACGAGCCAGGCCTATGCCTGCTGGCCTCTGGCAAAAGGCAAGGCTCTGTGGGGTCCTGGCATGTCCACCCAGATAACACCCACACTGCCCAGCACCACAGGCCATCAGAGAGCAGGGGCCCACTGAGAACACAGCAGCATCCTCCCTTAGCAAGGCCCAGCTGAAGGGCCCTGCAGCAGAATGGGGCCCTAAACCTCCAGCAGCAGCTTGGACCAGCCCCTGTGCCTGGCCCCCACACCAAGGGACGGGGATGGCTGTGGGGGCCCTGGCCTGGCTCCTGAAAGCCGAGCCCTGCCGCCCGAGGGGGCGGCAGGCTGTGGCTGCCTCATCAGGAGCCTGGGGAGCCCCACCATATGGGATAGTCATCCAGGAGGAAGTGCCCCGCCCCCGCCGCTTCCTCAGGCCACTGCCCACCTCGCCCCCTGCAGCGCAGCCCGCAGAGGGCCTCCCTACACTCGCAATCACCAGTGACTTCTGACAACACCGAAAATAAAAATGCCGACAGGATGTGGCTGCTGAAGGCCAGGGCCCCGGGGAGGGGGAGAGGGAGAGGGAGAGGGAGAGGGAGGCGAGACGGGCGGGGGCACGCTGCACCCCTCACCGCACACCCGCTGCTCCCGGCCAGGAAACCAATTTATTTTGTTTTGTCTCTGTTCTCTGAACGCGCACGGCCGGCGGAGGGCCAGGCTGCTGCTGCCAAGAGCGGGGGTGGGGAGGCCATCCAGGGGAGGCCTTCCCTTGGGACACAAGGCGGTGGGATACAGTGGGCTGGGATGCGACAGGGCCTCCCCAGGTAGGAGGGTGGAGAACTGCCCCCCCCCAAGAGGTCCAGGCCCCTGATGACCCACCCAAGATGCAGCTCAGATCTGCGCTCTGACTCCTCAGTCCGCACACCCCGGAGACAGCCAAGGGCCCACAGGGTGCTCAGAGGTGCCAACTGGCTGTTCCCACCTGAGGGTCCCAGCAGAAGCTGGGCAGGGGCTGCACGCCTGCCTCCAGGACACACACCAAGGTCATGTGTCCCAGACCCCAGAAGACAGTGACCAGAGCCAGGACATCCACACCAGCACACCAGCCCACCCTGTGCCAGGAGCTCACCTCCTCATCAGAGCTGTCCTCCACATACTCATCCTCGTCTTGGGAGCTTGCCGCCATCTCTGTCCTCGTGGGAGAGGAGCCAGTCTGCAGAGAGAGAGTCATTACGCTGGAGGGGAGCGCCCAGCAGGAAGCCCTCGTGGCACCCCTGAAGATGCAGCCAGCCCTCCGGGGGATCCCTTCAGCAGAGTGGGGGAACACTGCTCGACCTGAGTCCATGGGCTCTGCCGGGTGGGACCCACCACCCAGGGGGTGTGGCTGTGCTTCTGTCTCCTGCCTCCCACGGAGGTTGAGCTCCGCAGGCTGCCAAGGACACTGGCAGGTGACCTGGTCCAGGACGCAGACCCTTTTCCACACAAGCTGCTAACCTAGACACTGCCCACCCCTGAGCTTCACTCTCTGGCCTCAGGTCTAGCAGGGGCCACACCTGGGCCCAACCACCTGGACAAGAGCCCCAGCGATGAAGGACATGGCCAGGCACCTCCTGCTGCTCCACACACGAGGGCCTCCCTCTGGGGGACTCACCCTGACCTGGAAAACTGGTTCCCTGACGTTCCTGGCCGTAAGGGATTGATGAGAAAAGCAGTTCAACCCACCCCCGGGCAGTAACACCCTGGCTGTGCCCCAGCCCCTCTCGCTGACCTCCTTCCGCCATCCTGTTCTCCCTTCAGTTCTCGTCTGTGTGGCGGTTAAGTCTTTCTGCAGGAGGGGCTTGGTTTCCGTATCAGCCTCCCCTGCTATCATCACCCTTACTCTTGTGTGTGGGAGCTGGCCCCAGGCCCCTGATCCTCCAGACTCCAGGTACCAGACAGCACTCCACCCCCAGAGGCTGCTGTACCCACCTGTCAGTCACCTCACTGTGCACCCCACAATGCAGGGCAGCACGTGTCCAATCAGGAGCAAAAGGGGGGCCCTGTGCCCAAACTGCAGGGCAGACCAAGGCTAGGAGGGGGTCACCAGAGGACAGATAGTGGAGGGCTTGGAGAGGTCACAGTAAGACAGATGGGGGGCCGGGAGGAGTCACCACAGGATAGGCAGGGGTGCTCATGCTCCTTACACTGCAAAGTGGATCGTGGGGGGCTAGAAGGGGTGACCCAGCCACCGATGCCTTCAGGAGCAGCGCAGACACAGTCCAGCGGGACCCTCAGAGCAAGAGGGAAGGGGCCGCAGAGCAGGCAGTGTCCGCCAGGGGGCAGCAGTGCCTGGCCGTGAGCGCTCAAGGCCACCACCAGGGAACTCACTTCAGACAACACAGGGGGTTGCTTTGGTTTTCGAATTTTTAAAAAACAAACCGGGGGGGGGGGAGTGGCATCTAAAAGAGAGAGCTAAAGAGAAGATATAAAACTCAGCGGACACTGAAAGATGGACAAATCCAGCCATGAGTGGTCCAGAAGACCTGTGGCATACACCCAAAAGCCAGCTGGATGCAGAAGTTGCAGGAGGGGAGGACAGAGGAGCTGCAGCCTGTGTGCAGGGTCACCTGCCTCCCATCTGGACAGAGGGGACAGGTCGGGGGGAAGAACAGAGTGTGGGGGTGCCCAGAGACACAGCACAGAGGCAAGATGGGGGCTGGGGAAGTGGAACCCAGCTGGAGGGGCAGCACGGAGCTGGGACCCCAGTGAGAGACACCAAAGGATGCCTGCCACGGGAGGACAGAGAGAGAAGATGCAGGAGGGAACACCAATTCCTTGCACTGTCGCAAGCACCCCACAAGCACCCCGCCAGCACTCTGCACTGAGCAAGGACTTCTCATACTGCTTGTACCCTGTACTTGGCCAGCATCCTGAATGCCAGCCCTCAAGAAGGCTGTACTCCCCTCACCACCTACCACTGTGGTCTCTGAGCATCCCCCCAGGGGGCGTGGGAAGCACTACCTGAGACTTGGCTGCTTCTGTCCTGTACCCCAGACAACACAAGAATGCCCCTGAAGCCAATGTCTACAGTAACTCCAGGCTGGCCCGAGCAAATGCACCAGCTCAGGCCCTGGAAGGGGAAACAAGACCCTCTGGGAGGAGGAACTGCAGCCCTGCACTCTGAGGTTCATACCAAGGAGTAGGGAAGAGGCCGACCCAGAAATGGGGCACGGGGCGTTCAAGGCCCTCACCTGTGCTGGGTTTGACTCTAGGAGGATGGAGTCTGGGATGGGGGCTCTGTCCGAGGGAGGCAACAGAGAGGGTACACTAGCTTCAAATACAGCTATAAACTGTGGGCTCTTGCAGAGAGATGAGTTGCCAGGCTGGGGGCTCTGGAGTCATCACCTAGTCACACAAGCAGTATCAAAGCCAGACCCCTATGGTTTGGTCCTGTGTGGGCCTGGAGAGCGAAGGCAAGCAAAGGCCATCTGCAAAGCCCAGGGAAGCCCCACTGGCACAGAAAGCAGGTCATTTCCTATCTCTTGGCTGCAGCCAGAATTCAAGTTCAGTGACCAAGCTCAATGCGAGGCCTTGGGAGACAATCTTGTGCTCTGCTTCCAAAAACAAACCACTGAAAATGAGAACCAGCTCGGCTCTGACACTTGCTGACCAGAATAGACTGGAGGGGAACTGGCTGGGATCTGGGAGTTGAGCTGTGGCCCCTGGCCCAGCAGGAAGACTAGGCCAAAGGACCTGGGTGACTGGACAATAACGACTCGTGGAGGCTAGAAACCCAACAGAGAAACGAGGCTGGATGCATACACACCCACACCACCTCTGCCTGGACAAGGACTGGGCTCCATGCTGGTCAGCCACCCACTCCAGCCCTCAGATGGAGTGGAGCAGTACCCCCTATCTCCTACTCAAGCCCTTGGCCAGGGGGCCCAGAGCGCTCTGCCACTGCTCATAAGCTGATACTTCATTGAAAATGGGGACCCAGGAGACACCTACCATACTCCCAAGCGTGCCCACCGTGGCTAGTGGTTTTGTTTGCTGAGGCCACAGACAAGCAGCTCCTCAGCACTGAGCCTTCTGATGGCGTCTGGGGAGGTTCTTCACGACAAGCCTTGTCGTTTGGAACCCCGCAATGCCGCCTGCCCAGGTGTGGTCTGAGGGGCTTTCCAGCACAAAGGACAGCAGGACAGTACCACAGACTGTGAACCCTGGACTCGGGGCAGCTGCTCTCCACCCTCTTCCTGAGCAGAGCATGTCACTGCTGCATCTGGACTAGAGTCCAGCTTGCGACCACTAGACTCGGGCTTGTGGCTATGTGGGCAGTCCTCACCTGGCTCCCAGGACTTTTGAAGTATTTACACTTTGTTAAGCTATTCTCCTATTTCATTTGAAACGTAAGTAGGAGTTAATCCTTTCCTATCATCACGGCAAGAGGTATGTGAGCACTAGCCCCTCCATCCCCCAGCTCCCAGCCTCAGTATGTACTGTCGGCCGCAAGGCCATCCCAAGTGCTGATACTGAGGAGTGCCAGGCCAGAACACAAACTAGTGGACACAAGCACCCAACCCCACCTTTGCCCCGCTACACGCACGCACACCTGCCCAGCCCTCCACAAGATAAACACTGTCCCCAGCAGACACACAGACCCCATCCTCTACAGGTGCTCGCCTTTAACAGGTCCCCCCCACCCCCCACCCCCAGTCACAGACTCCATCTCCTGCTAACGGATGCCTCCTACCTCCGCAGCTCCTGGTGATACCCCACTTCATCTGATACACAAGCCCCACCCCTGCAGGCACTGGGCCCCGCCCCATCTGGCACACAAGCAACACCCCTCCCCGCCAGGTGGACACAAGGCCCTGGTTCTCCAGTCTCGGCCGCTGACTAGCACAAGGCCTTCACACCATCCCTTCACTGGCTGTGCACATACAGCATCTGGTAGTGAGGGTGCTGTGGTCTGATGTTCAAAATGGCTTTCCTAGGTCACTGGCATTGACCTTGCCACATTGTAAGGAAGGCGCTTATTAACAGATGTGTTCATCTATGCAGCAGGAGACCAGCCAGTTTCACCTTTCCACCAGGTTTAAATTGAGCAAATGTAGAGGTAGAAATCTGGGAATCTCAACCACTAGAAAACAAGCAGGGAATGCAGCGTGCACCCTTCAGTGCCAGAGATTCTTGTGCCAGCCAGCCAGGCAGCCCTACAGAAGAGTGGCAACCATGGCAGAGAAGCAGAGACCTGATAGGAAACACAGCTGACCAGGGACCTCTACCCCACCAGTCAGAGCTGAGACCTTCGCCGAAGCTCCCTGGGGGACTCAGGAGGTGAAGCCCCAAGGGCAGGACTAAGAACTTTGCAATACTGGCCCAAAGCTGCAAGGCTGAGGGGCTGAAGATGTCCTGAGACACTGCTCTGCTGCTGTCCTGAGCTATCACACATTCCTAATCAACCCCATAATCGGGGGTGTTTCTGTGCAGACTGCATAGCTATTGCAATGGACTTCAGAGCCAGTAAGGTAGTCAGGGTAGGTGTGGGAGAGAGGGGTACATATATGACCGAATGGAGTTTGTGTTGTAGATGCTGTGGGCGAGGGCAGTTGGTAGTAGAGGTTAGATACGGCCGTGCTGACGCTGTCCTCACTGGTTACAGCAGGGCGTGGAAGGGATGCAGGTTCCCCAGTGGCTGGCATCTGACACCGCTGTGGCTTCAGTCAGTGTCTTGGGTTTGGCTGCAGGTGACCTTGCCCACCTACCTGTAGCTGCTCCTCAGCAGTCACCCCTGGCCCGTTGTGGTCCTCATCACAGTTGGCTCCATCCTCACTGCTCTCACTGCCAGAATCTTCCAGGCCAGAGAAGACACTTTCTTCACTGTCAGAGAGGCCAGAGTCGCTGTCATCACTGTGGCTGGGAGTGGCGCCTGGGAGCAGACAGGGCTGCAGAAAAGCAGAGAGTTGGTACTGGCCCCACCCAAAATGACCAACCTACCCAGGACCCTTCTTGTCTTCCAGCTCCCCTAACACCCTGAGATGCACCTTCTACCCAACCCCAGCACTTCACAAAGTACAAGGACTTCTCCGTATCTTCTCAGAGCTTATTTCTAAGTCCATTTGCAGAACGAGCTTTCTAAACTGACAGAACCCACCTGACCTTCACCTCTCTCACAGTCCTGAGCCCACCAGGAACGGAGTAAAGGGCCACAAGGTGCTTCCAACCACACAAAGCCAAAGCCTTCTTATCCAACACGACTGAGAGCACCAGCAGGTCAGTAAACAGAAAACGTTTCCAAAGTCACAAACAGGGTTCAGCTTTGCTTACATGAGGACTGTCCATGGCGTTCACCACACAACCCTCTCATGTCCCCACACACAGCAGTTTTGTGTCACAAATATTCTGATGCTACCCATTTACAACATCAAGGGAATATTGGCTTGGGAACACACATAGCTGGCTCCTAGGGGGAACCTGGCTCAGCAGAAGGCCACAGCAATGTCCAGAGGGACACTGCTTCCTGGGGGTGGGAGGACAGTGGTCTACCAGGAAGAGCTAAAAGGCAGCTCCGACCAATCCAGCTAAGAGGTGTTGTCTGTTGTGAGACACCGTGCTGCAGACCGGCCAATACCCCAACCAAGAGGGGATGAGCTGGGGGATGCAACAAGCGGGGGAAATGGGTCCAGCAGTGCAGGACACCGGATGACACAGTGCTGCTCCACTTAAGATTTCCTCATTCTTTTCTTTTTTGAAAAGTGAATGTAAATGCAGCTTTAGTAGAAAACATACACCCCAGAGAGAGGGACAGGTCATTCTTCAAAAGGAAATGGGGTAGTTTTCTCATTCCTGTATCTTTTTTCTTTGAGATGATCACTCTCAAACTCATTACCTTCAAGTTAGCACAGACTCACGGTTGACCCTTCCCTGGTTTCTGAGGCTGTAAATCCAGCAGGCTGCACACCATTCTCCTGCAGAGCTGCTGGTGGGTTCGAACAACCAGACAAGAACAGCCTTTGGTCAGCAACACACCTCCCTACAGACTAAAGAGCCAGAGCTCTATATGTTGTAAAGCTTCTAACGTGTTAGCATAGAACACAAACAAGTACTATGTCCACACAGGAGTGTTAATGGGGTAGGTGAGCTCAAATGTGCTTTCTGGTTTTCTGTTGGTGGGATTAAGACTATAAAAAGCAAAATCCACAAAGGTTCAAGATTCTGTGCACAGGTCAGTGGCATTCACTTAATGCTTCCCACTGTGCGGCCATTCTTAACTCCTTTCTGAGCTATTTGTCCTCCGTTAACATAAACTCAGCCTAAAGTCCCACCTAATGCACTGCTTCAATTTGACCCTGTGTAGAGTTGCTGCCATCTAGGTGATTCTCATTCACAACAAAGCAAGGAAACAGAGCAGACAGCTCACAGGCTTTCTGAGGCCATCAACAGAGCCAAGTGTCTTTATCTGTCAGCAAGTAGGCTGGTGGGTTCAAGCTGCAAGCACTGGTTACCAGTCAAACTCTGACCCTTGGACCACCGGGGCTCTTTTTTATCTCATAAATAGCTCTTAAAGGAGTATAATGTTCTGATGTAACTATCATGGAAAGCGGTTTGGCACTTCTTCGAAAGATGGGAACAGAAATACCATTTGATCCAATTATTAAGGGATTTCTCAGAGAAATAAGAATTACAGCATGAACAGATAAAAGCCCACCCCTTTGTTCACGGCAATGCTATTTACGATAGCAAAGAAATGGCAACAACACAAATGACCATCAATGGACATGCTTAGAGACTACTGTATATTCACTCTGTGGAATACTATGCATCACTAAAAACCAGAAAGAAATCATGAAACACTGAAGAAGAAAAAAAAAGAAAGCATAATGCTCAAGGTAAATATTTTTTTACTGGAAAGGTGGAGGACTGACCAAAGAAGAGTCCACCCAGATGGACCAACACCGTGACTGTAGCAATGAGCTCAAAAGTGGCAGAAGTGAAGATGGCACAGGACAGATCAGGATTTCGTGGATAGGATCTGTTGTCCATACTGTAAGTCCTACTCTACTCAACCGCACTTAACAAGTCAAGTTAAGCGATTGCTTAGTTTTAAGAAGACTTCAGGGATATTTTTGGTTTAAATGTTAAAGATTATCTCAGAGCAATAGTTTCAAGGCTTCATCCAACCTTTATGGCTCCAGAAAGTCTGGAGACCATGAGAATTTTTAATTCTGTTTTGTATTTCTCCCCCTTTTTTTCAGGATATTTCTGTGAAATCTTGAATGAAAATGTTTAGTAAGGGTAGTTAGGCACCATGTTCTGCTCTAACCCAGAGACAGTTGTTTTTGTAGGCAACTGTCCACACATTCCATTTCCTCTATTCCTGGCTCTCCAGCTGCTCCAGGCAAATGGAGACCAACTGGTCCGCACCCCGACTTGGACGGCTCCTTGCCAAGCCTTTACACACTCAGGCATGCACAGTGAGTGAACTAGGCAGCAGAGCAGAGGCGCACGAAAAGTGATCTCAGATGTCCCTGAACCCTCAGACCAAACCTCACGACGGGCTTGTACACAAGCAGCCTCCATCGGCAGCAACTCTCTTCTGTTACTATTGTTCAAATGCTGATAAGGACAGGACGCCAGCCTCCACTACCCTCCTCCTCCAGCTCCCCAAATTCATCGGTTCCAGACTTCCCTTTATGCAAACCCTGATCCCCAAGAGAACAGGGCACGACCTTTCCTCAATTCCTGGTTCTCATCCTCTCACCCAGCTTCAGCCTTGACATGCACCTCTGTGCCTCCGATGATCCTGAATGCCACTAACACTAGACTGTATCACCTGACGCTAGCGCAGTGCCATGGGCGCCAGCTGTGGGATCAATACCGAGCCACACAGGCCGCCTCAAGGGAGGTGGTCTTGTTCCCGCTCTGGAGCCGGCCCTGCAAACAGAACCTTCGCCAGCCTGGAACCTCTTCCTCTCCGCTCGGCCTATGCTCTGGCCCCAGAGGGTTCCTAACCGACCCGGACTCACCAAAGAGCCACCCCGCGCGCGGCGTCGGTGCCACATCCGCGGAGGAGGAGCCCCGCACGTGCGGCCGCTGCGTCTTGGCCTAGCCTCCCCGTCCCCCGTCCTCTAAGCCCACGGCCCGCCATCACCACGCGCCCGCCGTTACCTCTTCCAACTGCAACGCCAGCTCCTTGTCCGGCTCTGCAGGCCGCTTCCCCGGTCGCGATCGCGCCGCCAAGGCTCGCCCTGCACCCCGCGTGCCCGCCATGCTCTACCACAGCTCCGGAGAAACAGCT